GCGGGAAATCTTCGGTAGAATGCGGGTTTGGTAGTCCCGTCCTTCGGGTGGGACCGGACAACTTCCTCTATCTACTTCACCTTCAGAGGAAGAGCACAGGGAACAAACTTTGAAGGGTGGGTGCTTGAATTTACTTAAGTCTCCATCAGCGTTTAATTGCTAAGTTTGTGGAAGTGTGAGTTCTGGGCTAGAGGAGGTGAAGTTCAATTAGGCCATCGTAGTTTCAATGGAAGGGGTGTACTGTTGAACATCCAAGACAGAGGCAGTCGCAAGATTGGGTACAGCCTAAGAGTGTGTTTAGATGATCCGCAGTTTTCTGGGATTACTGTGGTATTTATCGCCGTTTGTAAAGATTTCTCCATAATGCTTCGCCTTAGACTAAGATTGATGGAAGGGAGTCAAATTTGCTTGCGAGTGAGAACTTGTGAAAAAGTCGTTCAAGGAGTGAAAGTTAGAACTGACCAAACTGCTCAGTCTTGGATTATTCCGGGAGAGAGGGTAGGAGTTTATGCAGTCTATGTGACCCATCACGGAGAGGTCTTGGTTGTGTGTTGATTGCAAGAGGGGAAGTGGCTCCATATAGGCTCACGTCAGTTGAAAGTTCAACGGAGATAGCATACCCTACGCATGAATTTGAGATTAGCAGCTGATGATATTTGCCTTGAAGATTTGGAGCATTATCTTTACTGAACGGTGAGAAGTTCAGTCATTCTCGTGATCATACAGAGTTTGAAATATGCTGTTCAGACAGAAGCACTTGAACTTGAGGCAGAGGAGTGAGGATGGAATTTTATAGATTATATATTTGAATTGGCATTATCATATCGGGAAAAGCCAATGTGTGGCCGACGCCCTTAGCAGGAACACCTCGTTGGTGACATAGCTCAGTTAAGCCATTCGAGGTGGGAGATGTTCTAGCGATCACTTTGAGTTTGATTTGCTTCGTGGCGAAATCCGTTGAGAGCTGCGGCTTTGTTTCTGTTATTAGGCGACAACCTACATTGTGTGACTCGAGTGTTAGAAGCTCAGAGGGGCGAGCCTTGACGCTAGAATTCACCTCCCGTGAAGGAAATTTTGGGGCGAAGGTTGAGACAAGTTTGACGCGTGTATCCGACCTGAGTGTGAGATACCGAGACCTCTGTGTTGCCGGAAGTCATATCGAGAAGAACACTAGTGATTTTTTTTAAGGGGTCTTTCCATGGACTCCTCGAATGAGTAAAGTACTGATTTCCATAATTCACGGGCCTTCGGTGCATCCGGGATGGCACTAAGATGTATCGGATTTGGGGTCGCGACAGTTTCTGGTGGCGGGTATGAGAGACTTGTGGCATGCTTTCGTATCTAGTTGCCCTTACTTTTGTCCCCCAGGCAATTGAAGCTTGACATCAGAGGCCATGCGGATTTGTTGCCAACCCTTTGCCTATTTGCTTGAGGTGGGTAAGTGGCAGCAAGTACTATGGACTTCGATTGTGGGTCTTCCGAGGACTCAGCGGGGTATATCTATTTGGTGGTTGTAGACCGGTTAACTAATCGGCGCTTGTTAGTTGCCTTGTCCGCGTGAGAATATCGAGTAGCGATCTTGCCGACTGTATAGTATCGGATATAGTGAGATTGGCACGGGGTTCCAGTGACGATCGTACTCGGAATAGAGATCCTCGTTTTACTAACCAGATTATGGCAGAGCTTACAGAGCGCCTTAGGTACTAAGTTGACCTTTTAGCAAGCCTATCATCCTCAGACTGATGGGCAGTCGAAGCGTACTATTACAGATCCTTGAAGATATATGCTTCGGGGTTGTGTTTCTTGACTTTAGCGGTCATGAGGAGAAGGCACTTGCCATTAGTGGAGTTTGCCCTACAACAACACTTCCAATCTAGTATCGGTATGGCACCCGTTTGAGGCCTTATACGCGACCGTGTAAGGTCACCTTGTTTTGTTGGGCCGAGGTGGGTGATGCACCTCTGTTGGTGTCCGGAGTTAGTGAGGGAAAACGCGGAGAAGGTTGAGCTTATCCGTAAGAGGCTTGTTACAGCCCAGAGTCGTCCAGAAATCTTTGACTCCGACCAGTAGGAGAAACCTTTGGTGTTTGAGGTGAGTGATCATGTCTTATTTGAAGATAATCACCAAAGACGGGATTGATGAGGTTTGGGAAGAGCGGGAAAGTTGTCCCACTCAGATTCATTGGGTCACTTTTGGAATCCTTGCAGAGAAGGAGAGACGCTGCTTATCGCTTAGAAGCTATTGCCGCCAGCAGTTGTCCGGAGTACATGAACCGTGTTTCATGTGAGCATGCTTCGGAAGTATGAGCCGGATCCATCAATAGATATGATGTGATTGGATGGACCGATTTAGTAGTTGATGAGGATAACTCGTTGAGGAGACGCGGTTCGAGTCTTGGAATAAACGGATCAGTCTTGCGGGCAAGACCATTCTTTGGTGAAAGTTTTGTGGAAACATCAACGGGGTGGAGGAAGCCACATGGCAGTGAGTTGGAATTCCGCGAAGAATATCCGGACATGTTTATTGATTTGTATAATCTTGTAGTTAGATATTTTGTAAATATTGTCAAACTTATAAGCTTTTTATAATGTCTTAAGCTGTAAAACATTTAGAATGTTTTGGTTAATGGAAATATTCTGGAACTTGGCCTCGAAATGAAGTTTAATGGAACATGTATAATATTTGAATAATATTGAAAATTGTTGAAATTGAAAAGAAAATTGCATAGTGTGTAATGCAGGTTGAAATATATGGTTGTTTGCATATGTGTGGCAATATCTCTTTGTTAGAAGATGGAATGGCGCAGGTGTTGGTCAAGTTGTTTATTAGTGAGTTATCCATTATTGGTTGGAATTGAAGGAAAAACTTGTTTTCGAAACCTTGTGCTACAATTTCGGGGACGAATTTCTTTTAAGGAGGGGAGGTTTATCGCGACCCGGTCCTTTTCTCTTTAAATTATTGTATCCGGACTTAGGTTCCGGTGATCCTGTCATTACTTCATTGTGTTGTTGTTGTCCTTTAATCTCTTAGTATTTGAATTTAGGTTGTGTTGGGGCGGGTCTTGTTACAGGTTGATTGATTGGTTGATGCCAATAAGGTGATGCCCAGATTTTGGCCTTCACGCTCCAGCGGGAGGTTTTAACGCTCGACGGCGGGCCTTCGTTGTTTGCTATCTTCCGCACGAGCGGGAGTTTTGGAACGCTCGAGCGGTGATTTTCCATCTCCCAGTATTTTGCTCTGCAGTTCTTCCGCTTCGAGCGGTAGTTTTTACGCATCGAGCGTGATCCCTTGTTTTTGCTCCTCCGCTCGAGCGGGTAGTTTGACGCTCGAGCGGGTGCAGCTCCTGCAAAACTTCTGAAAGGGTGCCAATCGACGCTCGAGCGGCTTTCTTCACGCTCGAGCATGATTCTGTGTCTACGCTCGAGCGGGGCTTTCTACGCTCGAGCGTAGAGTCGACTACATAGTCCGTGATTTCACTTTTCTGATCACTTTTTGACCTACCTTTTCATCTCTTAACTTTTAAAACCCGCCTTGAGAGTCTCTCTCTCTACTCTTACCTTCTCTCCAAGATTTGATCTATTTCGGTGGTCTTCTACCCTAGTTCCTTTGGAAGAAAGGTAGAGCTTCACGAGATCTTTCTTTTAATTCTGAAAAAGAGAGGATTTGGAGCACTTTGGATTTTGGGTCATCATCTCCATCTTCTCTATTATTAGTTGTGATCTTCAGGTAGGGATTTTCCTACTCTATTCTATAAGCTTTGTTCTAAAGTTTTTGGTATTTTAAGATGTTGAGGTCACTTAGATAATTTGGGGAAAAACCCTAGTTTGTAAATTAATTTGTAAAATTAATTTAAGGAATTGGGGAATTTGGTTAATTCATGAAATTGAATGAATTCATAGAATTAAATGGTGTAGTGGATGATTAAATCACTCACCATATAAATTGTTGATATTTTATTTCCAGTCTAGAAATAACGTGTTTTTGGGGCTATCGGTGGGAGGATGTACGTGATTGTTGTAGACATTGCATGTGGATTAGGAATAACTGAAAACTAATCACATTGGTTAAGTCATTAATCTTGACTATTGAATTAATACTGAAAAATACGTGTATTGGGTTGAGCATTGCATTTGCATATTTGTGTGGGAGGAGATAGGGATGTACTTCACACGGTTTAGGGGAAGATAGGGGAGTGGACCTCTAAACCGGATTTTTGTTTGGGAGGAGATAGGGGATGGACTCCATTAGCACCATTTTTTATGTGTGCTTATTATATTGAAGTTGTTTTTACATGTTATTGATACAGCATAAAGTTTAAATGTGTATCAAATGGGAAGTATGAAGTGTTTTGATATGAGCATGAGTCTCATTTGTTTGTTTGATATTGGAAGTAATGTGAATATGATATACAATTCACTGTTGTAAGTTGGCCAGGTTCTGAGCCATGTTGATAATAATGGAAAGTGAAATGTGTCTTAGACATTAGTGTCATGAGACTGTTTAATGATAAAATTGATTATCTTGGTTAACCATCTATTGAATGCTATAGCTTTATTCTATGCTTATATTTGGTTTAGTATTTTTCTACTGGGCTGTGGCTCACCCTTTATGGGAACATCATTTTTAGGTTCAGGTGATAAGCTACCTCCACGGACTTAGCCTGGAAGGATATGGTGTTTGGGATTTTGAAGACTTGTCTTTAGTTATATGTTTTACTTTGTTATTTTTTTGAGATTTCATGTCAACATTCAAGCCTAGGGCTTAACTTGTAAATGAGTTAGTACTCATCCTTTTTGTGTCCAAGTGTTAGCTTGGAAAGATGTAAGCCCTTAGGGCATTTATTTTGATGTTACAAGTAATGTCTGTCAATAAGAATACTCTGATGACTAACTCAAATGATTCATTTTCTTTTATAAATGCATGTTAATGTTATGGTTATTATGGGTTTATTTTGAGGGCGTTACAACGACGAACCCCAACGTCCTTCTACTCTCCCCGACGGCAGTGAGTTACTCCTATCTCTCTTTCTTTATTTATTATGATTATTATTTTTAGATTTGAATATTTATTTATTTATTTGTTTTATAGTTTAGTCGTTTCAAGTCAATTTAAATCAATAATGTTACCTTGTTTTGAAATCAATCCTCTCCTGAAATTTGTTTGTTTTTATCAGATATTTCCAACTTAAACAAGACCATCAGAGATTTGCTTTACAGCATTATGAACCATTGGCGTGCTTCTCCGAGGCTAGTTCAATTTTGGGCACCCATAACAACAAAAGAGGGCCGGTCTTTTCTTACAACTCGAAACCAACCTTTCTCTCTAAAAACAGAATTTTGTGATTATGAAGTTATTGAAGGACTTTGTGGGTATAGGATGATCTGTATGGATTCTAAATTTGACATTGATTTGGATGGGGGGAAGACTTGTGAACAACACCTTCCTCTTCCTGGCCGAGTGTTCAAGGATCAATTACCCGAATCCACTCCTGATGTGGAGTTTTACTCTATCACTGAGTATCCACAGCGTGACGATGCTCTACGTTGCGGAGTCCAACAATCTTTGGCTTTCCCAGTCTTTGAATCTTCTACCCAAAGGTGTGTTGGCGTAATTGAAGTAGTGACACCGTCGGTAGCCCCTAGTTTTTACGGCTATTTGCAGTGCGGAATACATGAAGATTTTGAGGTTAGTCCCCCACTCACTCACAAATTGGCATTTTCAATATCTTGTTAATATTGATTACTCATTACACTCTCTCTCTTAGAACATCCACAGTGGTTTGGTGTGTTTGTTTGTGTAATAAGTTGGTGGGGGTTTGCCTGTTCAAAGAGAAAGAAAAATAATGTTTTAATGCAAGTGTTAAACACTCCGTTAAATTTGTCATGTGTTTGTTAACTATGCTCGGAGGGGTTAACACACAAAAGAGTAAACCACATTCTCATCTTTCTAGATCATAAGTGTTTTAAAACATCATGTTTGGATGGCAGGAACAATTCAATGACGCATAATAAGAATCTTATGTCAAGTCTCTTTCATTTCGTTGGTTGGATGTGTTCTAAATGAGAGTGCAATTCCTAGTTTGGTTGCCGAACTGGAATGACATTACTACACTAAGGTAGTGTTTTCTTCGTAGGAATGATTGTAGGCTTGAATAGAATGGCTAGTAATCTTTGACTTTCCAATAAAATGACCATTCTCCTAAATTGGAGAATATGGTGATTTCATTTCCAAAATTCCAATGTATATTCTTTCCTTTTTATCGAACCAACACATGATAATAGATATTACGATGGACTGAATTTTTTCCATTATAGAGTTTTTTATATGCTTCCTTTTATTTGCAAAATATTATTCTACATTTCGAAGTTCATGAGATTTCTCAGCTGCATCTTTCCATTCCCCTGCAGAAGAAAGGTCTGAAATGTTCAATTGAATTTGATCACAAGGACATGGAATTAGTAAGCAACAAACTATTATGCAATGTCAAATTTGGTTTTTTATTTTTCTTAAATTAATATGGTGAGGAATATTTTTTGACTAATACCTGGATGTGACAATACTTTCAAACTAGGATGAGGCTCAAAATGAAGCTCGTACAGTTGCCTTGGATGAAATCAAGAATGTGTTGAAAGTCGTATGTGAAGCTTATGATTTACCTTTAGCTCAGGCATGGGTTCCATGCAAGGTAGGTTGGCCATGTAGGCCTCTGGTTGATGGTGGCGTCCTTGGTGTACGTTGTTCTTACCGCAACGGTGACTATGGTGAAGATGAAGATGAAGATGACTATGATGTAGTGGAATTTTGTCGTAATAGTTCTTTGTTTCACTTAAAGAATGGGGTGGGGGTTGTTGGGAGAGCACTTTTGTCCACTAATATGGTATTCTGCAGGGATGTAACTCTACTTAGCATAACAGAGTACCCGTTGGCATACTATGCAGGACAGACTAGACTAAGCGGTTGCTTCGCAATATGCTTGGAGAACAATTGCACTGGAAATGATGTTTACGTGCTAGAGTTTTTTATGCCGATGAGCAACAATGCCAGTGAAAACCCACAAACCTCATTAAGGAAAATATTGGAAACAATGAGGAAAAATTTTCGTTGTCTTAGGGTTGCTTCTAGAGAACTTGGGGAAGAATTACATATTGAAGAAATTAGTATTCAAAATGGTGAGAAACTTGATCCTGTTCAAATCCCCCAAACCACTATATCTTTGCCTCTGCTGGAACTCTCACAAAGTGAAGTTGAGGTAATGCAAGTGGATTCGTCAGATCAACAACTAGTGAATGCCATAAATATTGGAAGCAATGTTGGCGGTACAGAACATAACAACTTTGCTATTACTTGTACGCAAGAGAAAAGCACAGTAAAAGTGTCAAAAAGAAAAGGCAACAAATCTGGAGGCAGAGTAAAGATGTCAAAAAGAGATGGCAACAATATCGGAGTTAAAATTAAAATTCCGTTAGAGGGTATCCTACAAAATTCAGAATTGAGCCTTGAGAATGCTGCAAAAAGCCTCAAAGGTATGCTTGCACTTTCTTAAATTAAAATGTAATGTTACTTGTGATGTCGGTAGTTATTTCAACTAGATGGACTCTTTGGTAGAGAATATATATTGAGCTTGTTGCAGAAACAAATAGAAAGTAAGTTCTCTTATTTTGATTTTTCCTTTCGCAGTTAGCAAATCTACATTGAAGCGTGTATGCAGGACTTTTGGTATAGAGAGGTGGCCACCTCGCAAGATAAACAAGGTTGGTTGCTCTCAACTCGATGCATCGGCCCTGTGTGTTGATCTGGAACAAAGCTCACTATTGAATCTTGATCATCTTCCTTCTGCTCAACCCCCAGCCACTATTGTTCACACCGAGCCACATGATACGACGATGCAAGATGCCAATGTTGTGACTATGAAAGCAAAATATGCAGAAGGTAATGCAATTAAGTTTCGTCTGTCTTCGTCATCGGGGCTCACAGAGTTGCAGCAAGAAGTGGCACAGAGGCTAAGCCTAGAGGCTGGAACTTATTGTGTCAAGTATAAAGATGAGGACGGTGATTTGATTTTAATAGCTTGTGATGGGGACTTGCGAGATTATATAGGGACTTGCGAAGGCAAAACCTGTATTGTGGTATTGCTTGAACCAAAGTAACCAATTACGGATCATCTATAAAAGGGGAGAAAGAAAGAGAGAAAAGAACTTGCCAATTTACCCACTGAACAAATTGAATCTTTCTAAAAAGCATTTCCTCTTAACCTGTCTTAGCTTTAACTAATGAGATTTTACATTTTGTGTAGTTATCGTGGTATTTCTTCTATTTTTTTGCGAGTTTACCTGGAGATGTACATTTATTCCATTGGTTATCTATCACTCTCCTCGAGAGGTTATCTTTTTTCCCCTAGAATTTGATGGTCATGTTTCCCCACAATCAGTACTAACTATTTAAAATGGAAAATTTTAACCATACATAAACTTTATATGAGTTTTGCTACAATCCACCATTTCATCACTCTCAAATTACACTTCTAATGAGATGGCAAATAATTTTAAAAGGAGGGAAGAACTTTGAAAGGAGAGAAGAATTTAAATAGTTGATTATATGGCATCTCATTAAAGGTGCAATTGAGGGTGATGAAATGGGGGATTGGGTATTTCTCAAGAATAATGCTATATACACCAATTAGTGTATTAACTGGTGTATCAATTGATGATGTGGCATAATTTAAAAATTTTTGGGTATTTGTAATTTGTATAATGAGTGGGGTCAATAATAATGTTATAAATTATGCCACATCATTATACAAATTACAAATATCAAATTTTTTTTTTAAATTATGTCGCATTATTAATTGATAGACTAGTTAGTACACGGTAGGTTGGCCATGTGGGCCTCTGGTTGATGGTGGCGTCCTTGGTGTACGTTGTTCTTACCGCAAAGGTGACTATGGTGAAGATGAAGATGAAGATGACTATGGTGAAGATGACTATGATGTAGTGGAATTTTGTCTTTATAGTTCTTTGTTTCACTTAAAGAATGGGGTGGGGGTTGTTGGGAGAGCACTTTTGTCCACTAATATGGTATTCTGCAGGGATGTAACTCTACTTAGCATAACAGAGTACCCATTGGCACACTATGCAGGACAGACTAGACTAAGCGGTTGCTTCGCAATATGCTTGGAGAACAATTGCACTGGAAATGATGTTTACGTGCTAGAGTTTTTTATGCCGATGAGCAACAATGCCAGTGAAAACCCACATACCTTATCAAGGAAAATATTGGAAACAATGAGGAACAATTTTCGTTGTCTTAGGGTTGCTTTTAGAGAAGAACTTGAGGAAGAATTACATATTGAAGAAATTAGTATTCAAAATGGTGAGAAACTTGATCCTGGTCAAATTCCCCAAACTACTCTATCTTTGCCTCAGTTGATGGTGGCATCCTTCATGCAAGTTGTTATTATAAGAAAGATGACTATAGTGAAGATGAAGATGACTATGGTGAAGATGAAGTCTTCAAAAAAAAACTCAAGAAATCCATGTGGGATTCAATCAAATTTATTGGAGGGAGACTTGAAATTTTGATATCGCTCCAAAATTTTTGCTCTTCTTTAAATCAAATTATTTGAATTAAAATTATATGGAGGGAATATTGAATATTTGATTTCCTCTTTCAAAATTAAAATTAATAATATTTTAAAATATATTATTATATTTTTTAGTAAAAAAAAATATTAGGAGAAATATTTAAGATAATTTAATATTTTTAATTTTTAATTTTATTACTTATAATTTTATTTAAATATAATTTTAATATATTTATTACGTCACGGTTCGATTCCAGTTCAACCCGGTGACCCGTCCATCCGATCCATTTTCCGGTTCGCTCACTAGTCTGATTTTTAAAACATTGGATGTGACCTAAATAAGTGTATGTATGAAAAAAAAAAAAAAATTAACACGTAGGATATAAATGTGTGACTGTATTGTCTCTCCATTCCATATCCCACAAACAGAAAATATGACATATTCGCACTTTTTAAAAAAAAAAAAAAAAAAATTATTATTATTTTTTTTAAATTTTCCGGATCGCCTTGTGTAAACGAATCTAAAAGGTAAAAAATAAAAAAGCCAAAAAAGTTTACTATTTTTAGCTTATTTTTGTCTTGACTTTTTATGAATTTTTAAAAATTTTCAGTTTGTCTCATCGAGTAGAATCTAGAAGACATCACTAGTATTATTGTACATTTATAGCTTCGAATCCTACAATATCTTCAAAAAAATTTAGTTTGTATTTGAAGTAATGTAGCTTTGTGTTTAAGTCATAATTGGGAGCTCCACATGTAATTGTCTTCCAGAACCAACCCAAGCTGCTATTGTGCGTGCACTCACACTCATCTTAATGTAACTTTTAATTTATTTTATTCATCTATTTATTTTGAGTCGCATAATCTGTAATATGTTAGATAATGTCTCAATGGGACCACATAATTAAATGTAGTGTTATCATTTATAAGAAACCTACAATTTAAGTGATTCAATTTAGTTAATAGGCTTAAGGGTATATGTGTTATGGACCTAATGTGTAGATACTAGTTGTATAATTTCTATTTCTATGAGGGGCAGAAATAGAAATTAAAACATATTGGTTAAAGTTGGTTTTCATTCCTTTTGAACTTCCACAACCTTTCAGTTTTGAAAACCAATTACAACCTTTAAAAGGTTATGGCCCCTATTCCTTCCCAGGTGGAAAATAAGAACACTGCCATTTTTTTCCTAAATCCTCTCAAGAAGAAACATAACGCACCAAAGGGGAAAGGATTAGAAGGCAATAACATAATCAATAACAAAGAGTTCATTGATAATCACGCTTTCGTTTAACCGTTCATCAATGGATTCAGGTATGTCATTTTGTCTTGATTTCTTGATAATACACATGGTAAATGATCCAAAGTGTAAGGTTTATGTTCTGAAATTTATGTTAACAATGGTTGGGTATTTTGGGAGAGTTGTTTTTTTGGGAGTTTGGAATGATTTGATATTTTGGGAGAATTTGAGTAGATGTGTGTGAGAGAAAAAGTGATTGGAAAGGAGAGAGGAGAGAGAAAAAGTGATTGATTGATACTAGTCACATATCTCATAACCAACACATTTTTTTCATAACCAACATCATATATCTCATAACCACTAGTCACATATCTCACAATTAACACAATTTTGCTCATAACCACACCATTTTGTTCATAACCAATATCACATATCTCATAATCATTTATCACATATCTCAAAACTATTACCCACATGAATCATAATCACATCTCATAACCAATCCCTTTGAGTCAACCAACATCACATATCTCATAACCACTAATCATTTGTTTTTGGACCCGTCAATTCTATTTATATATGTATATATATAATTGGAATTGCTGCAGATTATATAACATATACGGGGTCACAAATTTAGAAATCTTTAAATTTAATGTAATTTCATACCACGTCTACAGAAATTTAATTTTCTAACATTCTCAATATAAGTCAATTTAAACAAGATGTCACAAAAGTGATCTCTCTTGTTTAGATCGTTTTATATGGAATGTTTTGAAGTTCATGTCTGTGTATCTCATGCGGGTATTTATCGGTCCAAAGACATGATTAAGACTTGGCAGAATTACACACACATTTTGTGGTGATAAACATGTGCCAATTGTCAAGAAAACCTAATGTGAATAATAAATCCATCAAAAGATAGATTTGTTATTTGACATAACTTATTGTCAATGTTTGATCATTACAACAAGAATACCACTTACAGTTAATATCACTACCCAAAGGCTTGGTATTAATGTTGTGCTAGGTATTTTGAGATGTTGTCATTAAATTAATTTATTTAGAGATTGTCTGTTTGGTAACTCATTCAAGATGAGGTAATTATTCCTGAGGAACAAACTCTACAACCTCAACCTCAAGAATATGTGCCATTAAGGCGATCCACCAGAGAAAGGAGATTTGCATTTTCAGATGATTATATTGTATATCTCCAGGAACACCCTAATTTTGTTTCATTAAATTGTTTTGTTTATAATTTTAATAATTATTTGTGCAAGTAAATTTTTTTGTGACTACAGACAAATAAAAAAGTTGTAACTTATCGTTTTATCCGTGAACCCTTTTTTTTCAATGTAAGAGGGGCCCCAATTTTCAAAATTTGCCTTAGGCCCCCTAAATCTCAGGGCGGGCCCTGGGCGGATCGGATTCATGTAGATGCGAGATAGTAGATCCATCATCCAAATCGTATTTACGAATTTTAAAATATTTCATCCGTATTCATCCATCAAAAAATACGCATCCGCCCAAAATCAATTAGGTTGGGTCAGTTTAATCGGGTTGGACAGATTGGACGAATCTATGATCATCCTTACCAATTAGAATACCTTGCTCTGGCATGAGCTAGCCACTAATGTGCCGAATTATTTTTTGGCCGTTTGTTTCCACTTATTTATCACACGAATACTACAAATCCACCCTTATCAATTTAGAAATTACTTATAAATTAATTTCCACCACATTTTACATGGACCTCACATAGATTCCATACTAAAAAAATTATTTTCCATCATATAATCCCAAATTTTTCTCAATAGATAAGAGTGGTTCTCTAGATTTTTACTTATCACGCAGCTATGGTGTTTGGGGGAGAAACATTTTTCTAACGGTGGCTGGGGGTGCTCACAGATCATTTTTCTGTTAGATAATGTCTCAATGGGACTACATAATTAAATGTGGTGTTATCATTTATAAGAAGCTTACAATTTAAGTGATTCAATTTAGTTAATAGGCTTAAGGGTATATGTGTTATGGCCCTAATGTGTAGATACTAGTTGTATAATTTCTATTTCTATGAGGGGCAGAAATAGAAATTAAAACATATTGGTTAAAGTTGGTTTTCATTCCTTTTGAACTTCCACAACCTTTCAGTTTTGAAAACCAATAAATAGAAATTAAAACCAATAATGGTTAAAGTTAGTTTTCATTCCTTTTGAACTTCCACAACCTTTCAATTTTGAAAACCAATTACAACCTTTATTAAAAGGTTATGGTCCCTATTCCTTCCCAAGGTGGAAAATAAGAACACTGCCATTTTTTTCCTAAATCCTCTCAAGGAGAAACATAACGCACCAAAGGGGAAAGGATTAGAAGGCAATAACATAATCAATAACAAAGAGTTTATTGATAATCACGCTTCCGTTTAACCGTTCATCAATGGATTCAGGTATGTCATTTTGTCTTGATTTCTTGATAATACACATGGTAAATGATCCAAAGTGTAAAATTTATCTTCTGAAATTTATGTTTACAATATAATCATTGTCAAGTCTAAGTTCTATGTTATCTTTTCGAGTTTACAGTCTGTAACAGAACATATGTTTTGCGTATATAACTTGCAACCATCTTTTAGACATAATTTATAGTTTGGTCTTTTATTCAGGTCTACATGGCTTGCATTGTGCATGGTCATCGGTAAGTTTCTTTTCCCATTGTTGCATGTTTACGTGTCTAAATTAATGTTGGAAAAGAACAAGTTTAAAATAGTACTAGTTGATAATGAGACGAGGATGTATGAAAATTTGTATTCTATTTGATATTAATCTAAAAATGTAAATTCAGAATTGATATGCAATTTCATACAAATAACTATGCCTGAAATGCCAATAATCATCTAACGAAACCAAATAAAGAAACAATGTTCAGGTGTGGAGATTACAATAATGCTATCTAGTTCTCTCTCTCCTAAGCATTAGATACTCATGATATGGGTGTCTCATGGTTTATCATTACACATTGGTCAAGTCTAAGTACCAAAAAGATGAGAGGAAAAAAAAAAGTTGTTACTTTTACAAGCCTGTTGCCAACTCTGCTAATACTACTGAAAAGACAATATAGTTGTTTGTAAGACGTAGGCTATATTTTGTATTTCCTACTTAAATTTACCTGGGGTTTCATATTATTAGGCTTGAATAATTTTTCTTGCCAGAATTGGAGTTTCTTATTATGATTCAAGTGTTCGCCAACTCTATGTGCTGGAAGTTTGGGAAGATGGTAGCGTGGATTTTCCTCTAATTGATATGTGTATGAGTTTTTGTCTCTTTGTTATTTCATATGGTGTTGCCAATTTGGCGTTGTGTTTATTAAGACCTGAAGTGGAGGACTCTGGTTTGGTTTCATAGAGTTAAATTACTTTTCCTTTTCAATACATGTGACTTGATCTGGTTCAGTAAAATTTCAAGCCAAGCCCCTGATCATTTACACAAGCACTAAAAGTGAGGAGTCCTTTTTGACCGCTTTACAGCGAAATGGTATGCTGCTTGTATCTGGTTGACTTATTCAACTATCAGCTTGTTGGGGGATTGTTTACTCTCTGAAGTGATGCAGATGGAACATGTGAGGCTTCTCTGAAGCTTGTGAAAAGTTCAATATTTAGCTATGAGCAAGCATGGCACAGGTATGGAATTGTAAGCAAAATGTTGTACCCACCTTTTCTTTTCTGTTATTATGTTTAGGCTTTGTGTAAGTTGAATGCGTCTTAGAGTTTCATCGAATATCTGAACAAAGTTTTATTTGACTGTTTTATTTAAGGTTATGATCACATAATGTTGGTGATAATTACAAATAAAACACCAGAAAATACAAATAATAAAAATTACAATAACTATTGTAAGGGCTGAGGCGCGGAAAATTCGCTCTCTTTAAGGAGATTCAAGCCCTCTGTAGTTAGGCAAAGCCTCTCATCGGTGCAGCAGAAAAAACCTTGACTTGTCCCCTCAGGATACAACAACCCGACTAAGTCGTTTGGTTCACCAATACTGCACAATTGGTTGAACCCAAAGCTTTATCACATACACCATTTTTTATTTGCCTGATAATCTCACACAAAACATAATAAAAGCAACCAAAACTTCTTCTCGTATCTGCCAAGATAGGAAATTAGCTCAATATATATAGAAGATAAGACTTGGAAGGTTTTTCTTGGTGATTAAGAAAAGGATAAAGACTTGAAAGGATAAGAATGGGGAGACTAAGACCAAGACTTGGCAAAGACTTGACAAGGACTTGGAAGGCTTAACTTGGAAGAAAAGAAAAGAAAACCAACCTATAATACATTATAATATTAAAATACCTGCTAACATTCCCCCACCTATTTTAATATTATAGGTAACCAAAACTAAGATTATTAGGCAAATAAAGATATTATGCATCATGGTAGGTGTGCTCTACATTAAACCTCCATTAGTGAAACAATATATTTACTCCAGAGCCAATAGTATGCTCAGCATTGAACTATGACTACTTAAGGGAAATAAATAATTATTGCACACACATAATATTCCAAGTGTTCACAAAAGCTTTAAAAGCTAGCACATTACGGCCTTGTGCGATCCCAGGATTCATTAGTGTGTTTAAGAATTAGCCCAAATCTCATAGGTAGCGGCCCCACTACCACACTCACATAGGTGAATTCTGTCAAGGGTGCTCCTGTAACTATGACACCTCACTCAATAAGAGCTACAGAAATTCATTAAGAGTTATTTAATAACTCAACCTCTACAACGTTACAGGATAAATGCACTTACATCATAGGGATGGTTAAAAAGTAATGTAGTGCATTTCTCACGGCCATCATATGATCGTTTTTCTCATTAAACCCAGTTACAGGATCTCTAGTCCCTGGGTTGAATATCCTCATACATGGCTCCTGCTATATTCAATGGGCTTCAACCCCATCCCCCTCGATGTATTCCAGACTCTATCTCTTGCTAAGGCCTTAGTTAATGGATCTGCAAGATTATCACCAGATTTAATATAATCCACATTTATGATGCCATTATTCATATAAAATCTCACAGTACTGTGTTTTCTTCTAATAGGTCTGGATTTACCGTTATAATAACGGTTATTAACTCGACCAATTGCTGCGGTGCTATTAAAATGAATCAATATAGGTGGAATCGGTTTTTCCCAACAAGAGATTTCATTTAACAAATCTCTTAACCAATTTGCTTCTTCACTGGTTGTAGCTAAAGCAATAAGCTCAGCCTCTATTGTTGAATTAGCAATAATGGTTTGTTTTTTGGATTTCCAACTTATAGCACCACCTCCCAATGTAAATAAGTAACCAATAGTTGATAATGAATCACCTGACAAGGTATTCCAATCAGCATCACTGTAACCTTCAAGTATTGCAGGATACTTATTATAAAACAAACCATATTTTATGGTACCAGATAAATATTTCATAATCCGCTCAATGGCTAGCCAGTGATCACTGCCAGGCTTGCTAGTAAACCTGCTAAGTACTCCAACTGCATAGGCAATGTCAGGTCTAGTACAGTCAGTCGCATAACGCAAGTACCAATCATACTAGCATATTCCTTTTGATTAATTACATTCTCATTATTTTCAATAGGAAATAAACGCACATGAGGATCAAAAGGAGTAAGAACATGCTTGCAGTTATAAAAATTATATTTTCTCAAAATTTTCTCAACATAATGCGACTGATCAAGAAATATACCATCTCAGGTTTTGGTAATTTTCATTCCCAAAATAGAATTAGCCTCACCAAGATCTTTCATATCAAAATGGCTACTAAGCATATTTTTAGTTTCCACGATGATATGCAAATCAGAGCCAAATATAAGTAAATCATCCACATAGAGGCTAATAATGACATGTGAATTCTCTTCAGATTTATAGTAGATGCATTTATCACATTCATTCGTTTTATAGCCATTCTCAATCATGCTGGAATCAAATTTCTCATGCCACTGTTTAGGGGCCTGTTTTAAGCCATATAGGGATTTAACTAGCTTGCACATTTTGCTTTCTTGACCGGGTTCCACAAAACCCTCAGGTTGATCCATATAGATTTTTTCACCCAGGTCTCCATTTAAAAAGGCTGTTTTAACATCCATTTGATGAATTTTTAGATCATGAATTGCAGCCATTGCAATTAATAATCTAATGGATGTAACTCTAGTAACCGGAGAAAATGTATCAAAGAAGTCAAGATCTGCTTGTTGTTTAAAACCTTTTGCAACAAGCCTTGCTTTATATTTATCAATAGTTCCATCTGGTTTAAGTTTTTTTTTTTTCAAAACCCATTTACAGCCAATAGTTTTAGAACCTGGTGGTAAATCTACTAATACCCAAGTTTTATTAGATAATAATGATTCCATCTCATCATTTACAGCCTCGTTCCAAAAAATAGAGTCAGGAGATGCCAAAGCTTCTTGTAAAGTTAATGAAGTTTCCTCCAAAATCTTTTTCTAATCTGGCTCTTTTACTCCTTCTAGGTTCAAAAACTACAGTATCTTGGTTTTGTAAAAGATGAGTAAAGGAGCCGGTTTCAGATAAAATATTTTCTTGATAATTTTGACCCCCACCATTTTTAGATTTAAAAGGAAATTTTTCTTCATAAAAAATTGCATCACCTTATTCAAAAATTATTTTGTTTTCAATATCAAAAAATCTATAGACTGTACTATTTGTTGCATATCCAAGAAAAACGCACAAGGTGGCAGCTTTCACACTAATTTAGGTCTTTTAGGGTCCCAGAGTCTAACAAAAGCTAGACAATCCCAAACCCTCAATATCTAATTGCTTATGCCCTTTCCACACTCAAAAGGTGTAACTTTTTGTTTGTTTTATGTGGCACTCTAATTCATGGGAAAACATACACATGCATTAAATTGGCTTTCTCCCCACAAATTTGAAGGAAGCACCTTGCTTCAATTCAGCATGCATTTGTTAAATCCTTAAAGTTCTTATTTTTCCTTTCTGCACACCATTCGCTGCGAGCGTGAAATAAGGTGTAGTAGTTTCATGGATATTCCCATAAGACTGAGCAAACGAGACATCGAAAAGAGGATGAGAGAGATTCTAACCGTATGATCGTCAAAATGGAGAACGACTCGACAATATTCTTCTTATTATTGGATGGATACATAATGTATATTCCCTTCTTAAATAAAAGCAATAAGAATAGAGTTCTATGTATCATATTAACAATTTTACTAAGCAATACAAGAGATTTAAAATTTTATTAAATAATATAAGTAGATTCAAAGTATGATTGGTTGTTTAAAAAAAAAAAGTATAATATTTGGACATATATATTTAGATAAATTAGCAAAATAACCTTTCAGCTTTGCTAAAATATGAATTATTTTTTGTGATTCTAGAAATTACCATCATGCCCTTAAAGTTTCGAATTTCATAATAAATGGTTTATTTTATTAATAAATTTATAAAGTCAATAATAGTTTTTAATGATCGTCATATAAATTTATTTTAATTAATATATTTATAGTGTGGGTAATTTTATATTTTGTAGTTTTTAGGATAACCAATTGTAGACTTATTTTTGTATTTATTTAGTTAAGTTTTGGTAAATAAAAATTATGACAAGGTAAGTGTTTATTATATTTTCCAAAGTAATACATTAGAAAATTTATAATATTTAAACAAACTCTCAAAGAATGTATTTGTATTTTTAATCCTATATATTTTTATTATAAGATTTTTAATTAAGGCTTGTTTGAAAAGTTGGTCTATTTGATTTTTTAGATATTTTAGGCCTGATTAAAATAATTGTGTTTTGGAAAGTTTGATTGATTTTTTTCAATAATTAATTTGATAATTATGAGAAAGAAATAAAATAATTATGTATTAAATATTTTATTTAATTATTTTAACTTCATTTTATTTTTTAATTAATTATTTTAGGGTTCAACTGTCCTTCAATTGGAGATCAGACTGGACCATCTAGTCTGGCCCGTGGATGTTTCTTCGATAAAATGTGTAGAAACATGTCGAATACTTCATTATTTCTTAAAAAATCGACCTTGATTCGGTTATATCAATATCTATTTGATGCGGATTAATTTTCTATCAACTCTATGGTTTATATTTTTTTATCCTGTTTATTTTTTAAGCAGCACAAAACTTAATCTGATTAAATAGCTATTGATATCCGATTAATGTATTTTTTATAAAGATATAATAACTTGACAATTTCTACACATTATCGATTCAGATTAACAAATGGAGACTTCAAATAGTAGGACTCAACGTGGACGGAGTTCAATCGTTTCTCAATCCACGCAACCACCAATAGTACAATGTCTGGAACCGGGATATTTTATTTGTAACCCATTGTTCGCTAAATACTTTTCTAATAAGAATTTAATTTTGTGTGAATAGGCGCCCACCTACGGGTGCACTCAGTACAGCACTCATTGAGTCCAGAAATCAGCTTCCAGTCAGGGATGGAGTAGTAAGGGGATAAGGGACTATTGGGATAGAAGGAAGTTGAGAGCGAAGCGGAAAGCCTTACCATATCTAGAGAAAGCCCGCAAAGTGGATAAAAGTTAAAGTGTAGGTTGTGTAGTGTTAGAGTCAATGAATTGAGCATATGTTATTAATCCAAAGAAACCTATGAATGTAACAACTAATTCCCGATTCCCATGGGAGGGAAACTCTGACTCTGAGAAAGGCATCCGGTCTCTCTTCTCTCTCACCCACCACCAGCTCACTCCACTGCCGCACTCCTTCTCCCACTTCCACCT